TGCTCCCCTCAGTGTATTTCAGTCAGTCGGCCTGTTCTGCTCCCCACCCTGTTTCTGGTGAATCTCTCAACACCCCCCACCTCTGGCTCACATCCTAGTTTTTGTATGCAAAAATCAATCAATAAACCAAACTAAAGGCAAGCCATCTATTATGGCAGGGCCTTGCAATCTCAGTAATGACAAGAATGTGGTTGGGGAACCATCTAAGCCCTATCCTTAACAAGAGGTAAGAGAACGTTTATAAAATAAGCATAGCAAGCATCCACACCCTTCAGATTCATCTTGAGACAATCACTGAATGAGAGCTCCCAGAGCCTCTGCCTTCCCAAGTCTGTACCACAGACTTCAATTCTCTCTTATACTGAGTCCTTTCAGTTATGCTACTTATAGGCACCGGAGGTGAGAGGTCCCCTCCATCATGAAGGTAATTTGAGCAAATGAAATGTACTGCAGCAGCAGACGACCATAAAAGACCTCTACAAGCGTACTCCGTGGGCTTGGGATGATGAACAGGAAGGCCCAGCCTCACTTTAAGGCCCTCTTTCTTGAAACAGAGCAATACACATAAAATGTCCTTGTATTACCTACTAGTCCATTTTATTAGGTTAATTAAATATGTAATTAAGTAGGCAAATTAAAGAGAGGCTGCTTTTTTCCATAGCTTTAATTACCATTATTGCACCAATACAGCATACGCTTTATATACATATATCTTCATCTTCAATGTTCCAGCAATTCAAATACATAATATATTATCATCTTGAAAATACAAAGAACACAACATGGAGGAAGATTGAGAAAATAGGTTTCCGGTAGTTAGTCACTAGTGATTCTATAGTTTCCTTTTAGTGTTTTCTAGTGGAATTTTAAAATATCCTGCCATGGCTCTGTAAGAATAGAGCTGCCTGGAAGGGGTGGCAATGAAAAAATATGGACCCAAAATCAGAAAGAGTCAAGAAGGAAATCAAGGACAGAATACATATCTATGCATTTGGAAACTAAATATAAGGGCACCCTTCCGCCAGAATTTCATCCTTCAAACCGCCCAGTAGCAAACAGAATAGGTAGTGCCTGTTCATCTAACAAAGGAACTCTTCACAGCTTCGTAAAAGGAATGGTGGGACAAAGGGAAGGGACGTGATGGGAGAACAACTCATTTCTGAGACACCCTGGGTGAGGGTAGCAAAGCCGTCACCCGGCAAAACCGACGGCGTGAAGCCACGCCTCTCCAGCCTCCTGCTGAGGATGGTGCGCATACTAGCAGTTTCCTACTAAGAGCTAGACAGACTGAGAAAGAAATGTTTCTGGAAAGGGAACAGCTACCCAGGCAGCAAGGCAATGTGGGTATGAACAAGAGGTAAGTGTTTTCAACCTCTCTGCTCTACAGATGAGGTTAAAAACTCTCAACCCTTCAACTTCGGTCAAATAATGGGGCCAATAGAAAGCAATGCTGTGCTTCAAACACAGCAGCTTGATGGAGCCGCAAGAAAGCAAATGCTTCTCTAGAATATACCTTGGAAAACAGCTCCTTGAACCTCCTTTATCTGAGAGACACCACTCATCAGAGATCTGCACTACTCAACAAACACAGGACAGTGGGGTGCCCCCCCACACAACCCTCTTATCATAGGAAACATGTAAACACACGAGAGGGCGATGGAGCTGCACCAGCACTGGGTGTTCACTGACCAGGATAAGCCTGAAGGAGGACACATAGCAGAAACCCAGTACAGGGCTTCCTCATACCTACTCCTATCAAAATTCTGAATTTAGAAACACTGAGGTTAGACTGTCCATTTTGAAAGTCTTCGGTTAGTGAAAAAGGACGTTTCAAGGATTTTACCTGCAATTGCTAAATAGGGCTTCACAAAGAGGCACACAAGGGTCATGAGATGATTCTGAAAAAAGTTAAGGAAGTTCAAAGATGGAGAAAAATTTTACAGAGGACAGAGGTCATTTTCGCCTTTGAAGAGACCCTGACCTTTTGAGCCCTAAATCACATTAGCCCAAATATGAAAAAACCCACTATTCCCCTGCCCTCATAGTGAACAGGAGAGAAGAGAGATTTTCTTGCCAGGATAGCAAGTATTAAGGTAGGGGAGAGGCATAAACCAGTTGGAACTCAATGGAGAAGCTATGAGAAAGATTGTCCAGTAATTTTGGTTCTAGGGAGGGAAGGGGTGCCTAACTTCCCTCACAGACTGGTGCCCTCAGGATCATTTTATTCCTCAAGTCTATCCATAACATCCTGCCAGTGCTGCTCAGAACTGGACCCAGTTGGATGGCTGTGGTGCCTGGTTTGGAACAGAGCTGTAAGACAAGAGAACAGAGAGAAAGTTGAGGGTATAAAATTAGGACAAATACTCCATCTTTCACTAAATCGTTTCCAAGAAATGACTGCCCAGAATTTCAGAGACTACTTACCACAGCCTGAAATATCTCACTCAAACTTTATTGACAGGTTTCTTTTCCCACCGTCCCACACTCACACTTTCTTACCTAAATACCTGCCAGCAACCCCACATGACCTGTGAATGTCCTGCCTTCCAGATTCCATTTGGCCGTACATCTCATCTATATGCTCTCTATGTTGGTTTTACTAGGTCATACCTGGACGCAGTGCTGAAATCTCCCCACAAGTCATTGCTTGCAGCAGAAACTGGAGCTGGTGCTGATGTCGGGGCAGGGGCAGGGGAGTCCAAATCTAAAAGAATGTCTGAAGATAAAGAGAAAAATTGGGGGTGGGGGGACAATAAAAATATGATAAAAATCTTAGGATTTTCATTCTTAGAAAAATGAAAATTTATGTTCACATAAAAACCCACAGTAGGCCCTCCTTGGTGGCGCAGCGGGTTAAAGCACAGCACTGAGAAGCTAAAGCCACTTCCGCATGAGTTCGATTCCCGCCTGCCCCGGAGGTGAC